ATATGAAAAAGCCTTTGAATAAACTTGTATCACTAACCAAAAAAATCAGCCGATTTGATTGAATTGCAATGAACATAATCAATTTTTTCTTCAGTTAACTGACTTTTGGATCATCCTGCACATGTTGTCACAGACATTTTCTCTGAACCCTTCCGATTCGATAGCATCGCCGCGGAAAAGATCATCGCTTCGGTTGCATTTTCAAAAAATATATCAATCGATTAGAAATGACTTTCTATGGACAAAAACAAGTTCTGTACTTTTTCTCATCCTCAAGTCATGTTGATTAGCGTAATTTAGAATCATTCAATATCAAATCTTTTCATTCATAACTTCAGCATTTTGTTTCTTCTTTATTGCAGCGTTTCTACAGATTCCTCTCGATGCTAAATGGACTCAGCACAGTATTACTGTGGCCGGAGGAAATGGACAAGGCAGTAACCTTAATCAATTAGAGCGAGTAGTCGGTTTCTATATCGATGATGATCAAACTCTTTACATCGCCGACCATGGAAATCAACATATCATGAAATGGAAGCGTGATGCGACAAGTGGGCAAGTGGTTGCCGGTGGAAATGGAATTGGAAACAAGTCTAATCAGTTAAATTACCCAACAGATGTGATTCTTGACAAACAAACAGATAGTCTTATCATATGCGACTTTTCGAACCGACGAATAGTACGATGGCCTCGTCATGATAGCAGAAGCGGAGAAACGATTATCTTTAATGTGGAATGTGGGGATTTGGCAATGGATGACGAAGGATCTCTATACGTCTCTGATACAGAAAAGCATGAAGTTAGGCGATGGCGAATGGGTGAAAAGAATGGAACAGTGGTGGCAGGTGGTAATGGAGAAGGTAATCGTCGTGATCAGCTCGATTATCCTTTTTCCATCGTCGTCGATCAAGATCATTCAGTGTACGTATCGGACTGGAACAATCATCGTGTAATGAAATGGATGAAAGGTGCGAAAGAAGGCATTATTGTGGCTGGTGGTAACGGTAAAGGGGATGCTCTAACACAATTGCATTATCCAAATGGACTATTCGTCGATCGATTGAACACTGTCTATGTGGTTGACTCGAAGAATCATCGAATAATGCGTTGGCCGCAAGGAGCCACAAGCGGAAGTATTATCGTTGATGGAAACTACAGAGGCGATCAAGGGAACGAGCTTGATTATCTCAAAGGTTTATCATTCGATCGACACGGCAATCTCTATGTCGCCGATTTTTGGCGTCATCGAGTGCAAAAATTTTCAATCGAATTGTCGTCTCACAATTAACGGACATAGATAGTTTTTTGTTCTTTTTTTCTCGAAAAACGTGTCGCAAAAACAAATTAAGAAATAAATGAACTGATTCCTTTAGAAATATTTCATGTTTATCTATTTTTCGCCTGTGTACAGGTCAACATCGGTCAGGTTATATACCTGTTTCATAGATCTTCACTTATGCTTTTCGAACACTGAAAGTCTCTCTGTGTTGAATGTCCGATGCTTACACCTCGTGTGTCACATAATCCTCACCCTCAACATGTGCTGCTCTTTTTGCATCGCGTTCAACCTTACAACTATCGGTTTTTTTCAAAATGTTTGTAATACATTTTTATTTTGCATATATCTCAGCATAGAGACATCATAGAACCTTGATAATTTTTTTAAAGATACTCCGTGAAAAGTTCTGCAAAAATGATAATACGAAATTCCTGATGACCTCTGTCAATAGTCTTTTCTATAATCAAAATAAAAAATATATATGGCAGTACTACTTCTCACCATATTGAGCAAACTACAGAACATTTGGAAGACTTCTTGTTTTCGGCACATTTCGGATTGGAAAAATGATAGTCTCAAACTTTTTTAAAAAGATGGGCTGTCAAAAAAGTAAAATTATAATAATTTCGTTTATGAGAACTACCTTTTTAGACATTATTATGTTTGCGCCTTTTTGTGTCTTATGGCGTCTACTATAGCACTAACGGGCCAGATAAGTAGATTTGTTGTCTATTGAAGAAAAAAAGCAAACAAAACGTTCAATTAACTTTGCAGTTCGGGAATATAATGGCGTAGCCGTATATTTTCAGGGTGTGGGTGTGTCTAGAGTTACCACGATAACCTAGGATATTTCGATGTTACTGAACTCAATCTTATCAAGTGGCCTCAGTACTAGTTCTTATGGATCCAAGATTTCATTGAATCCTAACATAGTACTTGAAAATATCTACTTGAAAAGCCGAAACCTAAGTAGATACGCTCACAATAAAAGTGGTTGTGTAGTAGTTACCACGATAGCCTAGGATATTTCGATGTTACTGACCCAATCTTATCAAGTGGCCTCAGTATCAGTTAAGAGTGATCCAAAACTGAATCAAAAACATGATACCTGAATAGATCTACCCTGTTGAAAGAGTAGATACATCTACAGGAAAGTTGGTCTGTAGTAGTCACCACGATAACGGAATTGTTCGTATCTGGTGTTTCTAAAGTGATTCGGCCCGAATTTATATTTCCTATGCCTCTGACAGATATTGTGCATCTTTTTATTTTGGGAATTTTAGAAATTGTTTTGGAGGTGGGGTTCTCTCGTTTGTATGGGTTTGCGGTGGATGGGATTGGATAGTGTTATTTTTTGATGATGATAGTTGCATGATTTCAAGAATGTTGTTCGTTTTGTGGTGGGGGAGTGTACAGTAGGTAGAAAATGTGTCTTGCTTTCTTATGATTGAGCAGTTTATTCTGCGGTTTTTATGGGTATTTTTATGATAGTTGTTTTGTTGGGATAGTGGGTTTGTGCTTTAGTTTTTATTGTATATGAAAATTATGAGTGAATTTAGCAGTTTATTTATCAAGTCAGTGTAGTATGTATTAATGTCGGTCTATTCAATATAAGGAAGTAAAGTTATGCAGGAAAGTAGTTACTTATGTCCTGTTTGTGGTAGCAGTTGTTTGATCAATTCATAGAGAGGGTTTTTTTCGATTGATATTCTATGGAAGAGAAAAGAATATTTATACGGATTAGGTTATGATGTTGTAATGCATACTTTATGGGCTGTTTTTCGTTATCGGGTAATGTCAAATATCGTGGATCCGGTCGTTTCGACACTAGAAACTCGAGGGTTTGGTGTGGGTGTGGAATGTTGAGTGTGGAGGATATGGGTGTGGGTGTGGGTATGGGTGTGGGTTCAGTGGGTGTGGATCTTCTCCCTCCTCACACCCACACCCACCGATACCCACAAACCCACACTCACAGCCGACACCCACGTCCCACAGCCACACCCTACACCCCCACCCACACCCTCAAGAAACAAAGAGAAACAATGCCATTTTTTCATTTGTTCATTCGCTGTGAATTGTGAGTATAGAAAAATGTCTCATTGTTTTTCATTGGTGATGAATGACGACACGGTTAA